TATATATATATATTATATAAAGAAAGAAAACTTTAAACAGAAATCTGAAATCTAACCAAACTATGGGGTAGTTGTAGAGAAAATAGAAGGCAGCAGTATTAGATATGTTCACCACTTTGAGTTTATATATATATATATATATAAATAAAAGTAAAATGTTAGGATAAAAATCTAATTATCATGAGGGTCTTTATTGGTGCTCTCTGAGCTTGCATGTTTTCTTGCAGACATTTCTGCAAGGTAACATCATCAGTGCTATCAGTGTGGGTGGGGCTGGTCTTAGAGATTCTTTGGTATCCACACCCACACCCACAGACAGGCAAATCACCACAATATAAACTGACAGCAAAACAGTTCTCCTTATTAGCATTGATGATGTTACTAGTTAGGGTAATGAAAACGTCTAGAAGAAAACAAGCAAGATCAAAGAGCACCAAGGACCCCTCATTTCAACCCTGAGCTACAAATATTCTCCTTTTTTGGTATCTAATTATCGTCTTTATATAAGATACTATTTAGACTTTTTGCTCTTCATAACATTCTGCTATTGTTTATAACTGAATTGCTACCAAAGATATTTAAATCTTTATCAATCACTATACTACCAACTATTAGTACATAGTTGGACAGAGACAGAACCAAGATTTGGAAGCAGTAATAAAGAGATGATAAATCATTTTTCTTTTATATTGGCTATGTTTCTTTTATCAGAACCATCCTAAAATAGAAATTGAATGTTACAACCAAAAATGTTTATTTCTAATACGATCATGAATAAAAATATTTTATGAATAAGAAAGAAACTTACGGTAGGAAGGAAGTCTTCTAGCTGTAATAAAAGTGAGAACTATGTGTAAATATTCAGGTTTTCTGAAAACAAAAAATAAGGATAAAAGGGATTGAGCCAAGTGATTAGAAACAACATCCAGAGAAACTGTAGCATCAGAGAATACCAATATTATTATTAATAATACCACAGGATGAGCACACGAAAGTGCATTTGTGCAAGTGGCATGCATGCATGCATGCAACTGTGACCATCAAATGTACTAAAAAATTATTGTGCTTATTTTAACAATGCGTTTTGGAGCGATTCTGTTTTTAAATTAGAAATATTAAGTCTTAATTTCTATTCATCAGCTAGAAATGTAAAAACTGTTAGTAAATATACATTTTCAAAGCAACAGGCCACCAATTAGATGATGTTGACAAGATTATGGAAGAATTAGTATCTGAGTTTAATTCCTCTCCTCTTTCCTAACATCCATTTATTTTGCTTTTGCTTTGAATCCACTTGACCTTGCAGACAGAATCATCTTATCTTCTAACAGCTGCTCCACATTATTTAGACATTTTAAGGAACTGTTGAGGCTAATACCAATAATAGACTTTCCAAGGCAATTGTCTGTGGAGATTCTCAGACATCCATGTCATAGTTTTCTCAAAAGTATTTTTCAAAAGGCAACTGGACTATTTTTTCCCTGAGAAAGAAAAATACATTTTACTTCTCATCCAAGAAGCTTCAACTCATTCTTCAAGTCATTAAGCTTTGGGATGAAAGCAAAACAACATCTTCAAGAAAAAAAAACAGTGCAGCTGTCTTTTGAAAAAGCACCTTTGAGGTTCCCAGGCAATTCAGCAACATAGAAAATCTATATTAAAAGCTATTCCTATCAAATGGCAGAGACTACATGGGGTCACCAAATTTCCCAAAGAAAAATTCTACCATACGGCATTATATTTTGCAATAACAACATATTGCAAAATATATTATCTTGTAACAATATCGTTTGCACTATTTATGCAAAAATTGTGCAAAATATATTTCTCATTTATTATACATTTTAATATTGTGCCTATTTTAGAACTTATATGATTTTTATACAACCTACCATTGCGTTTAGTAGAGAACTAATCAAGCTTTTCCAGCAAAATCTTTTTTCTACCAATAACAAATACCCATGCCCACCATGCACAAAATGTATATTTGCCAGCACCACAGCCTGAGATAAGATGCTCAGATATCATTGTTTCTTACCCCCTACCTGCAGTTATCGTTATGTATATGTAAGAATGCCGCCCATACACCACCCACTCTTTAACCCATGGCATTTAAAAGCCAACCCAAGAAAATCAGACTTTGAATGATTGTACTAAATATGTATAAAAATATGAATAGCAGTGAAATGTTAGAATTAAACAATGGGTGAGTGTGTGTGTGTGGATGGGTGTATGTATACACATACATACATACACACAGACAAAGAAACACACAGACACACACACACACACTCGTAGATTTTCACGGGTGTAGGTATAATGGTCTTGTTGTATTCGGGTCTTTTCCTGTGTAAGATTGAGATTGTCCATCCTCAGGCTGGTGTTTTCGGCTTAAAGTGTGATCGGAGCTGCCGTCTTTCTATAAATCTTGGTGGGTGGGTGTGGAGTGCTGGCGTTATTTCAGTAAGTGGATTGATTGGCTGTGTGGCTGTATCATGATTGGTAGATTGGTGCTGGCTGTGTCCCCATTGTTGTTTTGTGTTGCAACGTCCTGGGTGGTGAGTGGGGCTCATTTGTTGACTAAAGCTGGTTTCCAGATGTCTGGAAACCAGGCGGGAGGTATCACGTTTATTCATGTTGTGCGTGTGTTTCTCTATTTCGATAGCTTCCATAATTATTCTCTTGTTAAAGTGTTCCGTTTTGGAGATTAATTTGGTTCCTTCAAAATTAATTTCGTGTCCTGTAGCTTTAAGGTGCTGGAAAAGGGAGGAAGTTTTTTCCTTTTTTCTTACTGCGTTCTTGTGCTCTTGTGTTCTGTGATGCGTGCATTTATTCTCCTATTCGTTTGTCCTATGTATGTTGCAGAATATTTCTGCAGTAAGAAAAAAGGAAAAAACTTCCTCCCTTTTCCAGCACCTTAAAGCTACAGGACACGAAATTAATTTTGAAGGAACCAAATTAAT